CCTTGGAGAGGGACATCATGCTTGGGAGGGTGGAGGGACGGCGCAGGAGGGGAAGACCCTCTATGAGATGGATCGATTCAGCGACTAGGGCAATCGGGATGGATGTGTCAGAGGCAGTGCGGTTGGCGCAGGATAGAGCAGGGTTTAGGGCTGTTGTGCATAGGGTCGCAATGAGTCGGAAAGGACTCGACGGCACATAACAAGATTAGCAAATTTGTCCAGGCTTAAGTCCTGTTGCTGTGCCAATAAACTTGCAGCTCCAACACTCAGCTAACAGTTCTGCATTCCTAACTATCCCACTGCTCAAATAAGTGCTGACCCAGGAGCTCTACCTTGCACTCTGAGGTTGGCATTTTCTATTTTTTTAAAACATTCCTTTAGTTGTTAAAGCCACTCTGTGACTTGAAGGTTGTGCTGTCAAATACATTCCAGTCCAGCAGCCCTGTATGACAAAAGTACTTCATGGGTCTGTTTCAGAACTGAAAGCCTACTGCAGAGCAGTTAAACTCCCCAACTCCTGGTCAGCAGCTTGGCACTTAGCCATTGTGTGAACAAGGCTCAGCTAGTGGCAACTCCCCGTGCGTTTAAAGACTCCACAAAGATTTACAACTTTATACCTCCAACTGCTGGGACTGCACAGGCTTTTCCAAAAAGTCCACATACACCCTGGTTTAAATAGGCTGCTTCTTTCCACTGTTTATTATTAATGTACAAAATATACAAAACCAAAAGAAAAAACTCATCCTCAAATTCATTGTGGCTCTAACCCAAGGACCCTGCACAAAACCCAACCAATCCACTGTTTTCATAGAAAACAACTGATGCTGAGACAGGTGAAGGAGAGGACTGGGAAGGGGCAAGCTCATCCTGATCTACCCAGGTTGGCACCTGGTGGGGATCGCAATGGCTGATAGACAGGGAGCTGGAAGCCTCACACTAAGCTTCCAGGTTGGGGTGGAGCAAGGCTGGCTCCCAGAGGCAGTGCATGTAGTGTGACATTTGGCCCAGTGCTGGGCTCAAGTTGATGAAAAGATGGTCTCATTGATATGTTTTATGACAACATCTTTAGAATGAGCTGTCGGTAAAGGCAACCAACACTATGACCTCACCTAGGCCAGCTAAAACTTTCAATGGATGCAGACATGAATTTGAAATAACTGGGCCTAGTTGGCCCACCATGTGACAGATTGCAAAGTCTTACACGAGAAATGTGAAGCCCATGTCAAGGGAGGAGTGGGGATGTGTTCCAGAACTCAAATCCAGCCTGACTGAGCCCTCAGTGCAGCGGGACAGACAATACCCCTTTTACCACCTCCCCAGTGCATGAGGAGTAATGAACTTGGCTGGACTGATTTCTTAAGCACAGGCAGATCCACAATGGCATAGCAGAAGTGCTCTCCAGGATAACCAGCTTTAGGTTCTCAGGCATTAAGGTTAGTACTGGAAAGGGGTTTGGGGTACAGGGCAAGTCTCCTCAAAAACTGAAGTCAACTGGGTCTCCTCTTTTGCAGTTCAGGGGTAAAGAATATGTTCAGTTTCTTTCCTCCCCAGACTGGAGGAAAATATGTACATCAATGTGCACCAGTGATCAGAAAACCCCCAGAAACCCATGCAAGTGGGAACTGAGGGGGCCGGCTCCTCATCAGCTGGGGAACGGAGGAAATGGGCCTCACAGAAGCCATAACAAGGTGGAAGGAGCAAGGCTGCAGTCCACAGGGGTTGTGTGAGTGGGGCAGGCAGGTGGTCTCTAGGGCAAGGGGGGCCCATTGACACCCGGATGGTAGAAGGCACAGTTATTCTCATAGCGGCAATTGCCCTTCATCATGAAATGTCGGCAAACAGGGCGGTTGGACATATCTGTGGAAGTAAAGGAGGAATGGTTAAATAGGATAAAAAGAGGTAAATGCTCCCCTTACACCTTCCCAGTCCATGGGATCTCGAGAAATGTCTAAGACATTTCCATGGGAACCTGGCAGAAGGAACTATCATGCATAATGGGAAACTAAAAATCAACCAGGGGCAGGGCACATCCTTACCTCCTCCATGGCTATGGCCACCATCATGTCCTCGGTGGCCTCCTCCCCCATGTCCGGGCCCATCATGACCACGGTGTTCATGGGGAGGTGGTCCTCGATGGTCATGGCCTCGGTGACCGGGAACATCATGAGGCCGGTGGCCATGAGGCCCCCCGTGTCCAGGACCTTCATGGGGGCGATGTCCACTTCCACCCATGCTTCCACCAGGGCCTTCATGTGGGCGATGTCCACCACTAGCACCCATTCCTCCACCAGGGCCTTCATGGGGACGATGTCCGCTGCCCCCAGCCATTCCTCCACCAGGGCCTTCATGGGGACGATGTCCACTGTTGCTGCTCATGCCTCCACCAGGGCCTTCATGAGGACGATGACCTCCACCTCCAACCATGCCTCCACCAGGACCACCTCGTCCATTTGGGGGTCCTCCTCCAGAGCGACCTCCTCTGGCTCCACGGAATGGAGGCGGCGGGGGCTCATTTCCTCCTCGGCCACCACGTCCCCTATGATATGGGCCAGGGCCAGGTCCTGGACCCCCTCTCATTGGTCCACCTCGCATGGGGTCACCTGGGCCATCCCAGAAGGGATCACCTCCCCGAGGAGGGGGTGGAGGACCCAGGAGACGTGGACCCACTGGCCCACCAGGACCTCCAGGGCCTCCATGGGGACCTGTTCATTAAAAAAATAGAGAATTATTAGTTACATGTTAGTACACTGAGGAACCCCTATGCTCCAACTTTTCCTCCCCAGTTCGTTCTTCTTTCCTCCTCCTCCTCTGAATGTCTGTTTTAATTGTCCAATTGCCACAGTGCTTGTCAAAGCCAGTTCTGATTAATCTCCTTTGTCAGTGTGTCCTTTGCCATTCCCTATCACTCCTCCCTGAGAGAGACTTCACCCTGATTCATAAGGAAAAGGGGATGGCGTACTCTTAGCTACTTCCTGCTGAAAAGGGACACTGTGGGTTTCAGGGTGAAGGTCTTCTCTCACTATTCTAAAGGGCCCCTTTGCCTATGCTCCAACTTAAATTACCTCTTCCCTGTTTTGCCCAATTTATATTATCAGGCCTGAATTACACACATAAGCCCCACTCCAATCTAACACGTTATCACCTACCTGGCATGGGTCCCCCAGGGCCAGGAGGGAAGTGCTGCATGCCCTTGGGGCCCCCAGGGCCTCCTGGTGGGAAACCATTGGCTATTGGACCAGGGCCTAGAAGTCCATGTGGCACTGAAAGAGAAAGGGAGGACAACTGTCAGAAGATTCCAGATTGCAGGGCTTCTTATTAGACATGCTCTGATGCTCTGAGAAATTCCAACCCACCCTCTCAGACCAACCTAGAGAGCAATGGCCTCTTCCGTCCAGGACTCCCTTCCCATTTCTTGCCTACTGGCAATACCCTGGCTCTTCACAGTGTGTGAAAGCCTGCATCCCCTACTCCACTTCAGGCTTCCTCCCCGAGCCCTGAAGATTACCCAGCATCTGCTTGAGCTTGTCTGAATAGTCTGGCTGTTTCAACAATTCTTCTGAGGGATGACTGTTCGGGCTACCCTGAGAGGATTTAAGAGAGCAAGGTCAACAGATTTGCAAGGGTAATGAAACGGAGAGCCATTGGGAAGATAAAGGGATCTCAGGTATAGAGCCAGAAGAGAGTAGTCAGGGAAGATCCAAAGAGAACAGAAAAGACTCTTACCATAATGGAGGTAAGGATCTCCTGAACATTGATGCCGCCTCCTCCAGGGCCCTGAGGGCTCTTCCCAGCACCCATGCTACCCATAAGGTTAGCCAGAACAGGAGGCAACTTAGAGCCACCTGCACCATCAGGTGAGCCACCTGATCCCACAGGCTCCAAGGTCTCAACATAGGGGGTTTCATCCATGGAACACTCCTGAAAGAAGAGAAGGAAAATTAGGACCAACTAGAAAACGGGGAAGATATTCTTATGGAGAGACACATTAAAATTAATAGCCCAAAAGAACACACACACAAACCACCTCCATCCCCAATAACTAGCACCACTCCAGCGCACCCCACTACTGAGTCAACTCACCTCATCAAGCGGGATGAGTTTAGGAGGTATGGGCTCATAGGGCTCAGGATCAGGCTCATGAGGACTATCAGGAATACGACAGGTTAAAGAAAAAAGAAGAGAAAGATGATTTTAGACCTTAAATATTTTTCATCTCCATCCCTTTTCTCCACCCTCCAGGTCTTTTCCCTTCACGACAGGACTCCAACTGCTCTATAAACCAGGAAAGAATCCCATTCAGCTCACCTCTCCTTGTTCAGGAAGAGCTCCTGAAGGATCCCCTTCTCCCGCTCTGCCTGGATGTATCGTTCCTGGCTATTACTTCCAGGGGTGACAAGTGGGGAGGGCAGAACCAGGGGCCTGGGGCACACCCAGGGCACCTTCTCCTCCATGTTGTCATGGCTCAGACGCCGGGCTGTCTCAAATGCATGTCGGTCTGACAGTATCTCTCGCTTGGCTGCCTCGCCAAAATCCTTGATCTTATTCACATTTACTATTGGAAGGGTGACAAAAAAAAAAAAGAGAAGGTAAGAACCACTGTATCTTTTTCAATTTTCTTTTTCCTATAAATTACATAGGAAACTTGACTTCTTACCTCGCTCAGTTTCATCCAATTCAAAATAGAAGTATTCCCTCAGTTTGCCTTCCTCAGGCCACGTCACTGTTTTCCTCTTCCTGCCTTTACGAGTTAGCTGACTGGGATCTCCAGGACTCTCGACAGGTTTTGCATCCAGAGCCCCTGACTCCGAAGACGCTGAAAGAAGAAAAAATTTCAGAACCAGATTCTCCTTTTCAGCAAGCCTCAAAACCTGAACCAGTTTCTAGACTCACCTGTATCCATGAGCTCTGGGACTTCAACAGGTGGTACTGGGGTCCCTGGACGCTCAGTGTCCATGGCCTCAGCGGGAGGAACTGGCTCTGGAGAAGAAGGTTTGGCTGTGCTTGGTTCTGTGCTTGTTTTCCCTTCAAAGGGACTTGGCTATTAAGAAAGAAAAGAAATTAACAGGTTGACAAAATGACCAAAGGAAAAGAATCAACCCAGGGTCCTAAAAAAGATCCCCAGTGGTTCCTACAAAGGAGAACTTGGTCTCTTTAACATCATCCCATCCCACCAATCTGCAAATGAGGTAAATTTCATCCCACTGTCTTCCTCACACTTCTGCACCCTTGGTCCCTTGGAATCCCATCCCAAAGTTCACACCTTGGCAGCTGTAGGTGACAACACTTTCTTCTTCTTCTTAATTTTGATGCCTGGGACAGGGGCTGAATTGAGAGCATCCAGAAAACCCAGGCCCTCCATAGCTAAAAAAAAATGAAAAGCAAGATGAAATCATCAGCTTTCCTTTATAGTCTTATTCCTATAGACACTGGTTGGGGAGAAAATGGGCCAATGGATGCCTCAACTGTGAAATATTAACTTCTAGGTGGCCAGGATACAATGGAGAAGTTACACAGTAAGTTCTTGTTAGAACGGCTTTCTTTTGACAAACACTGCAAGTCATGGCTTTGGTTAAAATTTAGAGCTCTAATAATTCTATATAAGTGTAGGACAGAATATCCTGCTTAGCTTTGAGTGCCTCTAACTAGTCACTGAATGTTATGTCTCTGTATGCTGTATCCAAAATTACAACTAACTATGGAAGACAAGGTAAAGAGGTATAAACATTTGAGGGGAGAGAGAAAGCAAAGGGGGGGGGGAGTTATTAAAGGAAAAGTACTTCACAAAACTCAAAACCTCCCACCTCCAGAACATTTATATCTATGACAATTCAAAGTCCATTCTCCACACTTTATTTTTTTTTTTCATTCTCCACACTTTAAACTCACGTTGTGGGGGGATGATCTTCACTTTGATCTCTTTGGTGGCGTTGGGAGTGGTATTGAGTGGCTTGTATTTCTTCTCTGCAGGAGGGACAGCATCTCCAGGAATAGCTGCAGAGCTATAAGAAGAGGGACTACTGTCACCACAACCACCAACAGGAGCTCTGACTGACTCACCCCCTCATCTATTCACTTCAGGGCCACAGATCCACCCTATTCTGAAATCCAGAATGTAGTCCATACCTCTGCCGCTTAAGAGGGATGGGCTTCAGGTTGTACTTGTCAGAAACCACCACTGCATTGGCATTCTTCTTCACAGGAACCAAAGATGGTGTCTCCAGCTCTAGCCCTGGAGAAAGAGATATGGTGTGGGCAGCTGAACTCATCCTTCTATATCTTCCTGGTTTCTGTTCCGTTTCCACCCCTCAGTCTTCAACCATCCAGTATATTATTGCCCCAAATGTCTGCAAAGCTTCTCTTAGTAGTATTTGCACTTTCTCAGGCTTAACGATCACAAATCAAACTATTCTACTACTAATCTCAGAGTGTACAAATGCCTATGGACCTCCAACGGCCAACTAACAACCTTACCAGTTGAACGAAACTTGGCATGACTGGGCGCTGTGGTTCGAAGAGACTTGGGCTTTTCTTTCTTCTTCTCTGGGGCCTCTTCAGTCCGAGTCTCAGCCTTTACCTCAGTCAAAGGTCGCTCAGGAGGAGTGGTTCGACTCTTTCCCTCTTCTTTACGTTTCTTCTTATCTTTTTCTAATACAGAAAAGCAGAAAAGACTTTTACTTCTATAAAGATAGCATTCAGTGGTGAAGAAGGCTGAGGGCACCTGGAGGCAACCTTCCTCCTCAATGTTAATAAAAGGTGCCAAGAGTGAAGCAGCTTACCGGCAGGCTGAGCACTACTCTGAGAGCGGATGACAGCCATCCAATCGCTGACTAGGACGGAGGCCAATTTCCGAAGCTCTGAAGAGGAGAGAGAAAAAAAAAAAGAAATGCCTGAATAAATGAAAATTATATTCTTCTTTCAATAGCAGAACACAGAATGCTTGAAAACATATTTGAAAAGCTCTCAAACAGAAAAAGTCATTCAATGTTTTCAAAAGTACAGGTTTAAAAAGATAAAGAGATAGGTTTAAAAACCAATTAAAATAACTTAACAAATCAAAGTTGTCTTCTCTTTAACTCCCATGCTTTCACAACACTGAGGAGTGAAATGAAGCAACGCAGACTACAGATGGCACTAAGAACTATACTTGTAGAATCACATATTATCTTCTAGAATTGTGCAGCCTGAGAGTGTTAATTCCCTTTAGAGACACAGAAAATGAAGCCTAGAAAGTTAGCTTTCAAAACTAGAAAGGGCAGACTCAACACTGAAAGACAGTGCAGCCTATGTGCCTTCACTAACAACCTGCTAAAGGACAGAACTGAAATCAGAGTCATGGCAAGGAGAAGACATGACAGCAAGCATCTAAAGAATGATGAGGTGCAAAATCAAACTTTTCTTGTGTTAATAATGAGGCAAACAATGTCAGAGTTTCCAGTCAGATTCAGGTCTTTATAAAAATTAATTTTCAGACAACCTTTTAAAATTTATAATAAAGGTGAAAACAGAACATTAAAACAGACCAATTTAGAGTTGGAGAATCAACATAAAACTAGCGAAAACAGCTCAGAGTTAAAGAACAAAGTTTAAGGTGAAGGTAAAGAACAGAATTTGGTTCTAAATAAATTGGGTGAATATGCCTTTAAAGCTCTTCCCCTCCATTCTTGGTAAATAACATCTCTTTACTATGGTACCTCTCTCCTGCCAAATTCCACTTAAAAGATGAAAACCTAAATATTCAAAACTAAAAAGACCTAAGAACCAAGTCCTACATTAACATTAAGAAAATGAGAACCAAATAAATGATTTCATGTCAACAATATTGTGAATTAAAACAAAACTGGAAGAATGGCCCAGTGCTTACTACTACTAGACTTATCCCAAGGCTGCAACAAATAGGCCAAAGCCTCTTATAAAAAAGGACCTAGAAACAATGCTCAAGTTGCTAGTTCTAGAGCCTTGGGAGACATCGAGGCCAATTAGCATAACACAATTCATATAACAACAATGTTCTATATCCTATTTTGGTAAATAGTGACTAGGCTCTTAAAGGCTTATGAGCAGCCACCAAAAGTAAGACTAGTGGTCCCTCCCTATGTAGAACAAAGGAGAGAAGAAAAGCAAGATGCATAGAAACAGTCCAAAAGACTTAACAGACTGGGTGCACAATCCTGAGACTTGAAAAAAAATAGATGGTGCCCAGCTACCATTGTTGTCTCTTCTAAAATATATCAAAATAGAAAGTCCTGGATGATTAGGGTGAAAAATATGGAACAAAACTAGAAAACATGCACTGCAATCCCAGAAGCGCACGGTTCAAATCCACCAGATGCTCTGCCGGGAAAGGAGGAACAATCTCTCCTCCTGTACCAGTCAGATCCGATTTGATGGCACGCGCGCGCGTGCGCACACCCACACACTAATAAAATAATTTTAAAAAATTTTAAAAAAAAACACAACAAACAAACAAACTAGAAAACATGAACATGGCCAAGATTACTCGTCCAACGGACTGGTGGAACCCAGGAAACTACGGCACCTGGTCTGAACCTGAAATAAAACTCACTCCCATGGCGCACCTCCCAACAGATAAGTCTAGAAGGTGAACAATAACATCAGGGAAGCACTCACTCCTTAGACTAATCAAGAGAGCAGAATTTATCCATGGATAAAGCTTAGAAGACACTGAACAGTAAGAGAGAAAGATTAACACAAGAGAAATGAGAAACACAAGAGGAGTGTTAAGACTAGATTACATTATATGTATTGCAATTAATGTCAAAAAAATGTGTATAAATGGGAAACAAATTAGCTCTATAAACTTCACTCACATCACAACAAAAAGGAAAAAAAATCCCCATTATTTTTTATAAAGGATGCTATAACTATTCACTTGGAAGAAAGATTAGTGTCATGTGCTTCAGTTTACTGAGTAGAAATTAAAGAAATCCCTAAAATTTAGGAAAATGTGGAATTTCCTAGAGCCAGGCCCAAGCCAGATTATATGGCCCTTGCTGGGAGCTCTAAAACCTTTTGCCTTAGAAAAAGACTTACTTTCAGAGATATGATGATGGACTCAAGATTTTTTTTTTAAGTACAATTTCCATTTTATTTTCAGATTAGTTTTTTCTTCAGCCTTTAAGAAATCAAATCCTTACATGGGCTTTGGTAGTGGTCGTGGGGAAGCACCTGCAGGTCTAAATCTAGGTGGAGGTACTCGGTCCTTTCGGGGTTCATGAGAAGGGTTCCTCACCAACAGCTGTGAATGGCACAACTCACACAGTAGTGCAGTTTCTCACAGGGCTTTTGAAGCACGTATGCGTTGAAGACACTTGCTTCGGAAACGTCCCTGACGGCAGCTGCCTCTACTATATTTTTAATTACGTATTTCTTAACTGCCTTGTTTTTGGGCACGCACTGGGCGAAGTTCGTGCAGCAAAATAGGATGCACATGGCCACAGCCCTTATTGGCACGACCATTGTTTCTCCTTTTTTGTGTGTGTGCTAAATTGATGGGGGTTTTTTTGTTTGTTTTTTTTTTTAATTTTATTATTTTTGTGTGCGTGTACCGTCAAATCAGAGCTGACTGGTACAGGAGGAGATTGTCCCTCCTTCCCCGGCAGAGCATCTGGTGTAAATTGATGTTTTAATAAAATAAATTTACGGTGCTTGATTCTTGCAAAACTAGGGATTAGAAACATGCTTTCCAAGAAAAGCAGTTGTTTGCTGTTTCTCCTTTTCTTTGTCATGTTGGATGCGAGGGTCCGAGAGCAAGAGTCAAGATTTTGCCTGTGCTCTACAATAATGCTTACCGGTAGAATTTTTAACTAGAGCAACAGAACACAGGAGAAAAGCAGTACAGGGACAATCCAAGAGCAACAGAGAGATGGTCAGTGTGTGAATGTAATAGGGAAAATGAGCAGAGGTAGAACTGGCTTTTTTTTTTAATTATTATTTTTTATTATTTTGTGTGTGTGTGTGTGTACCGTCAAATCGGATCTGACTGGTACAGGAGGAGATTGTCCCTCCTTTTCCCGGCAGAGCATCTGGTGGATCTGAACCGTCCGCCTCTGGGACTGCAGTGCAGCTTCTTGCCACTAGGCCACCAGAGCTCCCCTAGAACTGGCATCTTACCTTCATCCTCACTTGATTTGCTCAGCTGCTTCACCAACTTGGCCGTGTTGTTCTAGGATAGAGAAAGAAGCAGCAGAAAGGTGAATGCCATGAGCAAAGTAATCCCACTCAGAACTAACTCACAATATGAAAAGCCCTTTAACAATACTAACAACATCTTTTATATAGAGTACTTAATTTTGAGAGAGAGCTCTGGAAGCACTGTGGTTCAAACTCACAAGCTGCTCTACAGGAGAAAGATGAGGCAGTGTGTTTGCATAACACACTTTACAGCCTTGGAAACTAACTCTAAGGGATTGTTCTACTCAACAGCAGTGGTTTTATGTTGTTGGTTTTGTTTGGGTTTCTCTTGTTTCTCACTTTTTACAAAATCTTAATCTCTAGAACTAATCAAGTAGTTGTTGTTATGCGCCAGAACTAATCAAGTAGTTGTTGTTATGCGCCACTGAGTTGTTTGCGACTCAGCGACCCTATGTATAAGAGCCCTAAACGCTACTCTATCCTATGCCAACCTCACTGTCTCCAACACACTCACTCCCACCATCCCAATCACAGAATCGATCCATCTCATCGAGGGTCTTCCTCTCCTGTGCTGTACCTCCACTCTCCAAACATGATGTCCCTCTCCAAGGACCAGTCCCTCCTTGCAACATGCCCAAAGTATGTCAGACGAAGCTTCAGAATCCTTGACTCCAAGAAGCATTCCGGCTTCACTCTTGTTTGTTCTCCTAGCAGTTCATAGTATATTCAACACTCTTCTCCAGCAAAGGCATCAGTTCTCCTTCTATCACCCCTAGTTATTGTCTAGATTTCTAATGGATGGACGTAACTGCGAAGACTATAGCCCGGATCAGGTGCACCTTGTCTCCAGCCTGACATCGTTGCTCTTCAGTACTCTTGAGAAGTCCCCGACAGCTGACTTTCCCAATGCAATTCATCTCTTGATTTCCTGGCTTTATTCTCTTTAAGTTCTGGTAGCCTAATAGGTAGGGAGTTGTACTGACAACAAAAGGCATGTGGTTCCAATCTACCACCTGCTTTTCAGAAAATGGGAAATCTCCTGTGTGATTTATAGCCTTTTAAAACCTGCTGGAGGGTCAGCTGTAAGTTAGTTCCAATTTTTTTTTTAATTTTTATTGTATTATTTTTATGTGTACCGTCAAATCAGATCTGACTGGTACAAGAGGAGATTGCCCCCTCCTTCTCCAGCAGAGGATCTGGTGGATTTGAACCGCATACCTCTGGAACTGCAGTGCAGCGTCTTGCCACTAGGCCACCAGAGCTCCTTAAGTTAGTTCCAATTTGATAGCAACCAACAACAGAGATAAAGTGCCTCAAACCTTACACCTATTAAACAAAATCAGTTTGAACTGAGTCTTCTGATTCTGCCATTCTGTCTCACAAGAACCAGGACTGCAGCCACATAGGACACTGTAATTCTCATGTTAAACTAAAAAGGAAAGAACCAAAGCTGTGAAGAATAAAGGAACCTGCTTGAGATGATCCACAGTGAGAGGAAGGTGTTGCAGAGTCAGGAGAATTTGTTGTAAGAGGGGAACATTATTGGTTGTCTTTGAATATGTCAGCCAACTGTTAAGAAGCGTGTAACCACCAACATCAATAAACCTGCAGATAGGTAGAAGAAATTATAACTTTCTTTTCCTTAAGTTTCAGAAGCACCACAACCCATACTTCTAATCCCTCATTAAAAATCCAGGAACCGTTCCCCATACGGGCCACCAAAAAAAAAAAAAAAATCCAGGAACCTTAAGCTTCACTTCATCCCATGTATGCTTTCTAACTACATCTTCCCATCCTTGTCAACCAGATCACTACTTACTTGACTAATATTTCCGGTGAACGGGTCTGCAGGAGAATGTTCAAGTAAGTGCACCGACTCACCATCTTTCGTGCTTCCTTCATCAGACTGTAGGAAATGAATTAAGGTTAGAAATGGAACAGCCAGATTAAGCCTCTTCATTCCCCACAAGAGCCTATTTATCTGTGGGAGTGCCAAGAAAACCCTGATGATGTAAGACATGGATTCCAGAATCTGGAAGGTCATAGGGACCTCTAGGAGGATGGAATGAATCCAAAGTGACAGAGAAAACCATGGGACAATGGAAGAAAATGGAACAGACCCTGAAGTCTCTCATCTAGGGAGGTAAGCAATCACTGCTTCCCTAACATATGAAGGTTATCTGATCCTGCTTATAGACAAGAATCCCAGCCCTCAACAAACAACCCTTGATGGTCTATTCAAGACTGGTTTGGTCATTTGCTTTTCCCGCTACTGGAAAACTCAACAATCTTTGAAGAGGGGGAAAACTCCAAAACACAACAAAACTCATTTTTAATATCTGGAACCTGATCCCAAACAGAACGAATTCTGTCATTTGACTGCTTAGCTCTCATTACAAAGGGTGACATGGACCCACTCACAACCACTTTTGGGACTAAGAGTATCTAAACAGTCAGCTTTTACTATAAGGCTAGAGACTAAAAGATCATCTTTTCCTATCACTTGTCGTGAAATTATTAAATTTTTATCCAATCCATTGACTTTCCTTTCAAAGATTCATTGCTATCTGCCTTAATTGGAACTGTAACACTATGTCTTATAGTCTCTAGTTACAATGAATCTAAGCATGTACTTACCTAAAAATCTTGGAAATCCCATCTACACTCTTGACTTCCCCATCTCGGTTAAGAAAGGTATCCAGGCCTTTGAGCAGCTCTTTGGGATCTATTGGACCCGAACCCATGATTGTGATTTCTGAAAGAATATAACAATATATCACCTGATATATGGGTGACATGGACAGTCAAATTATGCTAAGTCTCATTTCTGTATCTGATTAATGACTACTCAATCCATATTGACATGAACTCACCACTTTCTAGATAAAATCAAGTGACCACTGTCACTAATGAGAAAAATAAACCATAGCCTACTAACCACAAATTATAATGAATGGGACATCAAATTAGAGGTCTGGGGAAGCAGAGTTTTCTGTGCTTCCTTCCCGTTCTACCTTTTCTAAGGTAGCAGAACTTCACTAGATTATATTAAAGGTCTAATAGTCAAATGTCTAAAACATGATTACTCAACACTTTCAAAGCAGTTTTTAGGATCTTTCTCTCCTCAGTTGCTGATAAATTTGCCTGGCTTGACAAAACTCCAAAGACCCACAAAAATAACCTCACTTTAAGAACTCGGCCAATCTTGGACTCAATGTTTTATAAAAGTCACTGTCTTCTGAGATTAGCCTATTAAGTTATAAACATCTGAAGTAGCAGGTATCAACTGAGGTTGTAGGTGACAAAAACCAAAACTTGGAATCAGACCCTTTCCCCAGGGGAATTTGGGGAAGCTTTCAAAAATGGAGACAGATGGTTGCAAAGGAAATTAAATAGGTCTCCCTAAGCCCTGGATAAATGAACTCATTAACCAAACACCGCACATGGGTATACGGTTCCAATTTAAGAGAAGCTTGTTTTGTAGCTGCCAAAGCAAAAATGGGAAATCTGGCTATTTCACACCCCTCAAATCACAACACCTTTCCAACATCTGCCAGGTCTTAAGAAACCACGGAGCCAGAATAAAGCTAAATACTTGAAATGTGCCATTAAATCGTAAACAGTTTTTGAACAGGCTGGAAGAAACTTAAAAGCTAAACAATAAGGGAGTGAAGTATGAAGTAATTTCTAGGCTACTACCCAAATTCCATGGATATTAATTTAGGGTAAATAAGGGACTTTTCATCTGCACTGCCTTTAAACACTGGCTTCTACAAAGCACAAAGAAAGCTACCTCAGTAAGATTTGAATTAGAGAAATAAGGCTATCAATGGGGAAGAAATCAACATGGAGACAATGCTCTCCAATATTGAGATAACAGATCAAGAGAGGGGTGGAAGAAATAATTATCTTGGGTTTTACAAAGATGGCTAAATTTTTGCAAAGATAACTCAGTTTCTTACTAAATAATGAAAATAAGTTCAATGTCAAATTAAGAGAGAAAAAAAAGAAAGAGTATCACAACCCGCAGGTATAAACATAGGAAGAAAAGGAAATGAACCAAGAAATGCTGGGAGGTGAACAAGGCTGAGAACTGTATGCTGTAGCCGCTCCTCTACCCCAAAACTTCAATGAAGACAAGAACCTGAGGTCAGAGGAATATTCAAAGCAAACTCAGATTAGATGTCTATGGACCAAACTCATTAAGAATGTGATTACAGCCAGACAGAAACAGGAATAAAATTTTTCCATATAGTTGAGACATTATATAGAAACATAGCTATCTAGATACTAGAAAAGCAATGAGGGATTCCAAAAACCATCATTAACAAAGATAAAAACTAATTTTAAACACACCTCCCCACCATCAAGCGCTATGATAATATACAGTAAGTCTTGATTTAAACTAAGATCACTTTAAATCTGTCACACCTGAACAACAGCTAGCCCCATTAATTCAACCCAGAGATGAAGACAGAACTGTGGAGAACTCCTTTTTGCATACCCTATCACATAGGCCAACAGGCCTACTACCTCCATTTCATTCAAGAACTAAAAAAACTAGCACCTGAGCTGAACTGTTCATCTAGTGGCTGGGAAATGAGAGAAAATAACCATTCTCAGAAAAGTGGTCAATAAGCACAAAACTAAATTCTGTGTAGCTCCTACTGGACATGGGAGCCACCTTTTAATTCTCTTTGAATAACCATGAAACAAGAAAAATTGTCAAGGAAAGGAAGGTAGGAGACAAATCAGAATACTAAAGATCCAATTTCCCATTACTGTTCTTATTTTGAAGATTGGATTAAATCAAATCATGTGATACAATTTAAGTGGGGTTTCCTCCATGCAGATTAGTTTTCATCCATTTAAGATTAAATGCCACTATCATGTGTTATTTCACAATTTCCTATGAAGTCAGTACATTTAAAATTCATTTACAAGGTACTCAAGTGGAAAGGAATGTAAAGCCTAACATTCCTTACATAGGCCTATGGTAAATAAGCAAACCTGAACTGTCCAGAGAAGGTAGAAAGTTACTAAATGTCACAACATGATCTGGAACCTAGCATGAGAGTTTGAGACAGCCTTCTGGAAGTAAAACGAATCCAGAGCATGATTGGTTTGGGTTTGTTTTTGTTTTGTTTTTTTTTTAGCATGTTTTTACACACTAATTTCATTGAAAGCAGACCATCCAGATGGGGGGGGGGAAAGGCAAACTCCTGTACTTGTCCTGAGCTTGGCTTCCTTGTGGAGCATGAGAAAATTGTATATGCACATAACTGGCAAAAAGCACTGGGTAATTTCCTACATGGAATAGTAATTTTAAAAATCCAGAAAAGTGATAAAAATGTCCACCTCCAGAATGGATTTTACTTTTTCCAGTCAGGTAGCTTAACCTGGTTTGGCTAATATTGTCCCATACTCATCAACACTGAAACAGGGAATTTGGTTAAGGTGAAAAGTCTATGCAAGTCAGGATCCTTTAAAAAGAAATCAAAACTAAAAGAGTAATTTACAACTTCTAAGGAAAAGAAAAACAATCCCTCTTTACTGCCACTTATTGGGCACTTGAAACTTTTATAAATGAAAATGCTTTCTTCTTATACCCTTATTTCCCATGCTGTGTTTTAGGCATTTCCTAGTATGCCTTAATAGTGGTGTGACCGTCTTTCAGGTGACTCAAAAGATTGCACACTTCTTTTAGGTGATAAACCTTGAACTGTCATCTTGAAAACCTGGTACATGAATCAAGGCTTGAATTCAAGTACTCCTAACAGGAAGATCCCAGAATAGAATTCTGGCCACAGTACAGGGACCAGGTTTTCTCAAGTTTTCTGGATGGATCTGGTTTTCCGAGTAGACCTTATTGTTTCCTATCTATCATCTTAAAGATGATCTTTATTAATCCCTTGCTTGCTAGAGTTCAGGAACCAGTGGGCAATGCTCAGCTCCCAAGGAGGGTATGCTGTAGAGACATATGGTAAACTGCTTAGAAAACACTTGTGGTCAACAGACATGTGGAAGAGTCCCTCCCACTCGCCCAATTCAGAAGTCTGAGTCAAAATCTAGAAATCCAGAGTAGAAAATCAGCCCAATTTACCCCATAATAAGTAACAGTCTAAAGCCTCTACCTTTCTACATGTCTTTGAAAAAAAGCATATGGACTTTGAGAAAGATTTGTGACCATGAAAAAATTCTGAGCTAGATTAAGGGACAAGATAGTCACCCTCAGAAAAGGGTTTGGCTTTTAAACATGCACCAAATTCTATATCCCAGGTTAAAATGGAGAGGACACTATTGGTCCCTCAACGTTCAAAAAATTTCAGGAAAAATTAAAAAAATGTGGCTCTTTGGAAAAAGAAATGAAGGCTGTGAAATGTAATTAACACCAGAAAGGTTTTGCTTACCAGAAACCGTAGCTTGATGCCCCCTGCCTCGAGTTTACAACTTCAGCCTCTTTTCCTATTCACGTCCCATCCTAGTACCAATGTACAGGAGCTAAGCAACTGGAGAATGTGATACAGCACTGGATGCAAAGAACTTATTCCCAAATTGAGGTAGGAATAAGGGTAATTTAGAAGAAAGCCCTCAAGGACCACTCTCCCTCACATTCTCATTACACAAAAGACCAAAGGCCCAAGGCCCAAGTGTCATTAGGATCAATATGTCTACCATTACATTCTCAAGACTTGTATTCTCCCAGCATAACCCAACATGAGAGAGAACAGTATAACCCACTCCTCCCCGAGAGCCTTCAAGTCTTAAAAAGTACAGTTGAGGTCTGTCAATTGAGGAAATTTCCAAGCAGTTGTGATGAGTGAAAGGTTAAAGAATTAGCTTTGATCCTTAAAAAGCACAGCGGCCCACGCAGATGGGAGTCTCAAGATCTAACCACTGTTAACTCCTCCCACATTTAACATGAAGAGATTAAAAGATTACATGTAAAGAAAATAGTTTCTTCTACACTCTTCTCCCTAACAGCAGCCTATTCAGAGTCCAGATGGCATCTACTTAGGGGTGGAGCTTCAAGGGGGTGGAGAGTGGAGGAAGCTGATTACATCACCTTTTAATGCTGCTCCTCCCCCTTGACCAAGTTTCTAGGGCGGCCCTAAGCTCTGGCTAGCAATGGGGAGGAAAAACAAAGAAGCAGGGACGCCATTTTGTAATGGAGAGAATTAAAAAAAGCTACCCAAGCTCTGCCGGTAGCAGATTACATTGTAAAACATCCTCATTTGATTAAAAAGAACAGTAAAAAACAGCGCTCCACGCTAAAAATCTCTAAACTATTTTTAAGAGCTTTGTGAAAATAAGAACAAATAAAATAACATTGTTAACAGTTTTCTGGGAAGAGTAAAGAATTTTGCAATTTGAGGTTTAACTACCACCGACCACCCCTTTCCTCCCTATAAAGGGAAAGGGGGAGGACTTGGACCCTTCTCAACAAATAGGGTTGAGGTGGGAGGACAGGAGGAAAATGGGTCAAGGCACAACCTGCATCGCCGCTTGGAAGAGACAAAAGGACAAGGAAAAGTCGCCATATTGAAGCAGGGAAGAAAAAAATTGCTTTTTAACGACACAAATCTTTTCGAAAGCTAGCATTCAATTTGCACTAAATGGCTTTTAAAATTATACTCCTGAATTGCACAATCCCCCACTTTTCCACCCTTTTATCTGTATCCCCCCTTTCAAAAAAATATCAAGATAAAATTGTTAATCATTTTTGCTTTTAAATAACCTATGCAACCTTCAACATTCACAAGACATTCTCTACTTTCCCAACTATTATCTTGTATGTATTGGCACTAAGACTATATTGTCCTGAATTTAGTGTCTTGCAATCTTTATTCCTAGATTGCCACGTATTTTAATCACACAAATATATTTCAAATTACATTAAAATTGAGAGGATTTAACAATCACTTATAAATTCAGCCAGCTGTTTTTCTCTCTGCCCATCTCCTTACCCTGCAATCTTTATGTACAGATTGCTTATTCATCTGGCAAATTGAAAAGCGCCCCTGCTCGTCTCACACACAAAGAAGTGGGACTTTTGGGCCACAAGATCCACCATCTTTTGTATGTGAGCTCATTAACCCTTTTGAAGACTGCTGCTAAGCAGAGGATGGTAACCATTCCTCTTTATATACACTTATGGCTTTGGCAGTCTGGAAATTGGCTGGATTACCAAGGGTTAACCGTCAAAATCCTCACTTGCTGACCCTCCCTCCACGCTTCTCCTTGCCCGCATCTGGGCAGGGAAGAGGTAGGTGGTATGGGAGAGAGAACAAGACTGTTTATAGACCCAAAGGCCCTTTTCAGTGGAGATTAAGCGACCGGAGCGGTCCTTCTCCAGTTCTCGATTTGTTCTATGATCTCATTTCTTCCTCTCATTTTTTGGTTTCACAACGGGAAACGTTGATTTCTTGTTGCAAGGCTTGTTTTTGAAAATTCGACACTTACTATCCAATTTTTTTGCGACGTCAGCACCTCGGGCTCAGGGGGTAGGGGATTAAAATTTGGAAGAAAAAAAACACCAACCAGGACCCAAGACTCGATTATTTGAGGGGTCTCATTGGATCAAAAAGTCTCCTTAAAAAACAAAGGCCAACTCAGTAGTCATTTCCCCCACCACCCAACTCCATTTAGGGAGGGGGGGTCTTTGAAAAAAATTTCTGAGTGGATTAAAAAAATTAAAACGCTGGATGAGTGAATTTGGGTGGGTTTGGGAGGGAGGGTGGTTGATTATTTTTTGCAGTTATGTGGTGACGGTCCTTCGGCCAGAGATTTCGGTCCCAAGCAGCGTGGGCTGGTGGGGGGGCAAGATAGGTGGGTGGGGGGCTGAAGACACAAGTGGTTGGGCTGGTGCTGCGGTTTTCCCTTTCCCCCCTCTCAGGATCCTTTGACGGGCTTAGATGTTGCTGCGGCTTGTTTCGGTTTTCCTCGTGGCCGGCCTGTCTTTCTCCGAGAAAATTGAAACCTGGGGGTAAAAGGAACACAAAGGAGAAAGATGTAGTCAATACGGGTTGTTTTTTTAACACACCCATTATTAAGTGCCATTATTTTCCCAAAACACTTCCGCGAGCCAAACTTACTACAGCCGCTTTAAAATGAATTATTCCTCCCAAACGAATCTTTGGCTAACCCCCGCTTCCCATGTCCTAAAACGACGTCCTCCGCAAAAAATTTACCCTTCAACAATACACGGACGAAACTTACCTCTAAACGAACCCCAGAATGGCGGCTACCCGCTCGGGTGGAGTCTTTTATACCAGGACGCCGCCCAACGCGCCCAAACTTGCTAGTGAAACGCCCTTGTCGCGAGACATTGTGAGCGAGGCGTGAACTCATTGGCTAATCGGAAGGCTAACTCGCCAGCTGATTGGCTACCCTTCCATGTCCTTCGCTCAGTCTTTCCTCCTTGCTCCCTCTTCCGCCTCCTACTTGCTGCCCCGCGGCGTGCGCGTGACAGATGAGTTCAGCTCCGCCCTTTTACCCTTCTTCCACCACTTCCGCCCGTCGTGCGCATTTCTCACCCTGGGTGGGTAAAACTGACTTAGCGCATGCGCACTAAAAGTATCCTGCTCCAAATCGCCTTCAAAATTGCTGCAAAAGCAAACTGTAAGAATAAGATCTGGAAGCCATGGAGACTAACTTAGTAAAAGCACAATTTTGAGGCCGAATTCGATTGTGACGCAGTTGAAATTAGCCTCTCGTACGTCCCCCACCCCCACCCCCGCTGCCGTTCTGACGCAAGCGCGCTGCTGCCTTCCTCACTGCGGTCTCGTCCTTGGCGCTAGCTCGCCAGGATCATAGAGTATGCCCAGTCGCCTTACAGGCACTCCCAGGTTGGACGTACGTCAAGATGGCGACCTTCACATTGGGCACGCTGGTGAGGCGGTTTCCTAGCCTTTCCTCTTTCAGAAGTGCCCAGAGAGTTCAGGTAACTCCTTGAAACACGTTTTGTACAATCCTAGCTTCGCTGTACCGTATCTGTATTGTTACTCCACTGCCAGAAGTTCGGGAGGTTGAGGTGGCGTCTTCCCCACTTTGCAAGGCTCAAGGTTTAACCAGCGCTTGTACAGCCCCGCCCACTACCAGCCACCGCATTATTGCTTGCATTTTTAGACCCAAATCGAGAACAAAGAGACAAGATTAGGTTTAATTATCTATTGTCGTCTTACCTCAGTAGCTAGATGTTGGAATTGTTCCTTAGGTAGAACCACTTAAGCAGCAAATAAAATCGGTACATTCTTAGCACTTGGGTGATCGGATTCTCAGCTCTCTCTTTCTCACTAAATAACTAACTGAGTCTTCTGGTTTAAGGATTTCTTCTGGTGTCCTGTACTCCCCATCCTGGAAGTCCTTGGTAAAACAGGGCTGGCATTTTGGTGGGGCACGGGCTGATGGGGAGTCTGGCCAAAGTGCCACTCCCTGAAGTGGAAGCGAGGAGAGATGGGGTCACCATAGAGTTAATAACAAGCTTGCTAGCTTTTAATGCTAGCGTTAGGACTCTAGATCTTACTGATGTTGAACTTTTTATGAGGCTGGGTAACTCGGTGACTCAGAATTAGATTGAGTCAGGGATTCAATTGTTCTATGAATACCCTTGCTTATAGACGTCTTACTTCCAAAAACCTAGACATTCTCCCTCCTCTCCCCCCAGGCGCGATTCGTTTTCCCTAAAAGCATTGAATATCATAGTATGTGCCAGGTTACTGCAGCATCTTCTTCAGTAAGATTTCATCTATCCTAATTATCCTCTCAACTGAGCTTCTATTTTAGAATTGGCTATGACAGACCCCCCAACAAAAATTACTGCGTTCTGTATGAAGCACAACGTGAATGATGGAATGTGAGAAAGAAAATGTACATGAATGGAAAAAATAAAACCCAAACTATTAAATCAGCAAATAGTAATAATAATTGTAAAAAACGACTCCATTCTGTGTAGTAATACAACAAGTGTTTACCATTTTCACACAGTGTGGGAAACAGTACATTGTTGTATTCATGCTCTCATACTCCTTTCTTCATAGATTTCCTTTCAGGCTTTTTGCACCAAAGCCTCCTGTGAGGAAGAGTCTTTGCCTTCAGCTCCCGTTTCTCCTTATGAGGATGAACCCTGGAAATACCTTGACTCAGAAGGTACCACTGAATGGAAAGGGTGGAAAAGATAGAGTCTGAGAGAAGTTCAGAGACCTCTCTCCCATTCCACCATGCAGTAATTTACACCATTTCTTATTTCAGAGTACCAGAACAGGTATGGTTCTCGCCCAGTCTGGGCTGACTACCGTCGCAATCACAAAGGTGGCATACCTTCACAGCGAACTCGAAAGACATGTATTGTGAGTTTGTAAGGCTGGCATGTATGTGGATTGTACAGTGGGGACATAGGCCATAGTGGAGATAGTAGCAACATTTTTTCTCCTGGGCTTTGACTGTCCTCTCCAATTTCTTCTCTCTACAGCGTGGGAATAAAATTGCTGGGAACCCTTGCCCCATCTGCCGGGATCACAAGTTGCACGTAGACTTCAGGGTAAGAAGAATCCAGAGAGCTTTTCTCTAAGATAAGAATTTGACACCTCTTTGAAATGTTAAAAGGTACCTTAGTGGCACAATGGTTAAAGTACTAGGTTTCCATCCTAAAGATCCTCAGTTCAATCCTACTACCTGCTCCACAGGAAAAGTTGTAGCAGTCTGCTTCTGTAAACATGTACAGATTTGGAAATCCTCTGGTACAGTCCTTCTCTGTTCTATTATAAGGTTGATATGAATTGGGATTGACTTAACACAGGAGTGGGTTTAGGTTTTTGTAGTATTAAAGATTACCAGAGCTGCCTTACACTTCTTTGTAATCTGGTATCCCGGCAGCTATTTTTTGCTATCTGATGTTAAAAGCACAATTTTTCTCCCTGTCTTAATAAAAACTGGATCTGAATACACTGAATATTGTAGTGTAAATTGGAAGGTAAGAGAAATGACTTAAGAAAATACTGTCTGAAAGGTTCCTTTATATGTATTATAGTTACTGTGTTTGTGAAGTCCCGTTGAGTCAGAGTCGACTCATAGCTGACTCACCAGCAGGTCTTTATAGGTAGTAAATCACACAAGAGGAGGTTGCCCATTTTTGTGGTGGATTCGAACCACATGCCTTTGGGTTCGCTCTGCAGCTCATTAATAAGCTATCAGAGCTCATTATTAAAAATGTTGAGCTGGTACTGTATTTTGTTATTATGTCAATCACTGGTTAGTAGTCTTCTAGTTACCTAGTCCTGGTACAACAGAAGTATAACAAATAGGGGACTTGAACAGACTGGAAGTTCCCACAGTTTAGGAGTCTAAAATTAAAACTTTAGAATGCTAACTCTAGAGGTAAGTTGCCGACTCTGGAGAGAAGTTCTTGTTTATTCTTCAAGTTTTCTATGTGTGCTGACATACATTTTAATCCATATTTTAAAAAACAAGTTTGACTCAAAATACAGCATATGCTAAACTGAGTAACTACTGTTGTTGTTATGTGCTGTTAAGTCAGCTGCAACCCTGTGTACAGCAGATCTTAAGCCGGCCCTGTCCTGAACCAGTCTCACTGATTCTGACACACCAACCTCATAGCCCCAGTTACTATATCAGTCCATCTCAATCCGGGGTCTTCCTTTTCTGTGCTGTCCCTGCACCCTTCTGAGCATGATGCCTTTCTTCAAGGACCAGTTCCTCCTTGCCATATGCCCGAAGTATGTAAGACGGATCTTCAGAATCCTAGCCTCTGAGGAGAAATTTGGTTTCACCCTCTCTGAGATAAACTGTTTTCTTGGCAGTCCATGATATGTTCAAGACTCTCCTTTAGCACCACAACTCAAAGACTATATCTTCTATAGTCATGGTCCAGTTCTCTGATGCAGAGCAAGTAATTGCAAAGATTATTGCCTGGATTAGGCACACCTTAGTCTCTGGGCTGACATCATTGCTTTTTGGTACTCTGGAGAGGTCCCTGACAACAGATTTTCCCAGTGCAGTTTGTCTTTTGATTTCCTGACTGCTCGTGCCAAGATTGTTGATTGTAGAGCCTAGCAACTGTTAACAACCTCAATCTCTTCTCCATCTATCATGGTGCTGCTGTTTGGCACAGTGGTGAGAATCTTTTTCTACTTGATGTTAGGTGATGTCTAAAATCTGTGATGGCTTTGGAATGTCATTGGGTTAAGCAACCCTACCACCTACCAGCTCTTCCATTTCCCACTAAAATCAAGATACTCTCACGACTTGGGTGATCATCGGCTTAACTCACTTTATCTCATAATTCTGAAAAGATTATTAACCACAAGTGTTGAAGTTAAAATTTACAACATGTTTTAGTGGACATTATTTAATTCACTAAAAAGAAAAAAATTAAAAACTGTCATGACACAGGCCAGGCAGAGTGGGCATGGAGTGTGTGAATTAAGGCATACAATCTCTTGGGATTTCCTCAACTCAAAAAGATTTTAAACAGAGTAAAAAGATCAGAACTTGTTCTTTAATCAGGAAAGTTCTCAGAGCTTGCAGTGGAAGCACTTGAGTAGACATGAAATGACTGGTCTTCAGGAAAGTTGAATGTGTATCTGTCCCTTGCCAGGAGTACCTGACTGCTCTAGTCTGGCATAGGTTACAGAGGAGTCACGTAGATAACTTTTCTGATTGAAATAGAAAAGGAGAAAAAAGGGAAAAAGAGAAGTTGTAGATGGAATTGTGTGGATGATTTTGCTGACTACTAGCTGACAGCTTCATCAGGTTTTCAGAGGGTATAAATCACATGAAAGGGCAGTGCTCATATTTCTCCTACAAAACCGCTGGTGGATTCGAGCCCAGTGCCTTTAAGTTTACCACTAAGCCACCAGAATTCCCTGTAAATACACATAATCACATGTGTGTTTGTGTACTCTTACATGTGTGTTTATATATTCATACATTGTTAACAGTATTGAAATATGTATACATGCCA